CGAGTTTTTGACTATTAGAATTTAGAAATTATGTATCAAAATTATTTGATTTTATTTAAAAGCAGCATCATAATTCTTATTTCTTAGCTTAACAGTTAATGGAAAATAACAATAAAATAAAAAAAATATATCAATTTAATAAAACTGTACATCTATTATTTACCGTGGTACGTCCTTATTGGATAATTTTAGCACTCTTTAATAGTTTAATCCTCAACCATAAAAATACTCAGTCTGATAAATTTATAAATAAAAGAAATACCTAACCATTGCAAACCCATGCACATAAAGGTATTTCTATGTATATTACATTACAGTGAAACGTCTCCTATCGGGCACCTTTAAATAGAGAACGTCTTTTTGGGCACTAACTACAAACTTTCTAAAAACCGAAACTTTTGAATAGTGGACACCTCTGAATAGCGGACAGAATTTCAGTAACAGAGTGTCCAGTATTTAAAGGTTTCACTCAATGAATAATATTAAATCATAACTCATTTGACCACCATTATGCTATAAAAACATAAGTACTAAAACTATACAAAATTATTAATGCTTCAATATATGATTTAAATGCATTCTCTAAAAAATTGGGTATTAATCCATAAGGTTTCACAAATTAGAGATAATGACAAGTCTACAACGACTTAACTTTATACATACCTGCTTATTACAACTATTTATTTAAAACCATTAGCCAATAGAACAATTAAATAAAAAAACCACACAATTACTACATTGTTTCTCTCATAGAATGATTTTTCCGTCGGTAGTCTGTTTTTTTATATAGTTTTCAGATGTTACGCAGACATGGTTTTAAAGTCCTTGACCACAGTCACATTAATTTATGCATTGTCCTTCCGCTATTGACCACAGTATCACGTGTTCGGTCTGAATTCAACTGCAGCAATAAACAAGATAATTGTAAATAAACTATAAAAAGCTAAACAGTACATGATCTTACGATACGCGAGAACAATTTAAAAAAATTTAAAATAGTTAGTACCTATTTTTTAATAGTTGTAAGTATATAGCGCTTCATAATAACTAATAACCATAGGTGTAACTTTAAAAATAACCTAATTGTGTACATATTTTGTATTATAATAATTATGCGGGCCTGATATTATAAAAAATTCTAAAATACCTACTTGCAAAATCAACAAAAGTAAATATGCTTCGACGCACAATTCATTTTTCATAAGGGCGAAATAAAAATATTGATCTCCAATAGTAGTATAGGAGTACGTAACCAATAACCACCCATATGTACCAGCCGAATCTGAGTTTACGCATAATAAAGCTCTTATATATTATTATAATAGTAGGTGTTACTGTTATGTCTACGGTGTTACTAATTACTAAATAATAATAGATAAGGTACAAATTAAACAAAGTTTTTACGCAGTACCTAAACCACAAGACTTACGAAAATAAAGTAATCAAAAAAAAAATTCGAAAATACGGGAAAGCCTAAAGGTATGTTTTGCTTCTTTTGTCTTTGTACCTAAAACCACAATCTTAGCTTATTTTGATTTATCCTTGGAATTTCATGAGCAATTTAGGTGAGCACATAATATTATGTATACCTAGTTGCAACCACCAACAGATGCAATAGAATTGTATATGGTATAGCAGTAGGTATACTATGGTATAATGTATCCGCCCCGGGGAGGGCCGTGTTTGCGCCTAAATACCGTGTATGCGCCTATATGCAAAAACCTCGATTGCGATTAATAAAATTAAAATACGTTAAATACTTGTTTGCGCCTAGTTAGGTTACAAATATATAAATTTGGCAACATTGCAGTAAAACTTAAATTTCTCGTTCCACTTTTTTCAGACTTCGAACTGACAGAATAAAATGTATTGAATTATTCTGGTATGGTTAAAAATTTGTCTTTACTGTTCTGTTGTGTAGCTATTATTTTTTATGGTACCTATTATATTTTTAATAAATTTAAATTTAAATTTTTCTTCACTGTTCTGTTGCGTCGTTGTTATTTCTTATGTAGGCACCTATTATATTTTTAATGAAATGAAATTTAAATTGTTCGCGTTACTTCGACTTTGATACTTATATTTTTTATGAAGTTAATTGTTGATGTCGATGTATCTCTTAATTCGTTGATAACCTGGTGTTTTTTTATAGCTGCTTTATTTTTTATTTGTTTTATTGTTGTTTTAGCAAGATTTATTTTTAAATATGTATCTGTTTGAAATTCTATTAGAACTTCCACAGATTTTATGATTGATGGATGAGCGTTAAAAAAATATGAAATAAAATGTTTATGAAATGATTCACATGCGTTTGTTGTCTGTGTTAGATTATTACAACCTTTTGCCCATAATTCAGGAGGAAATAGACGAAATTTTCAACTAAATAATCAGCAAATGATTGTATTTTTTTTTCTGCTGGAATTTCAGACATTAGTTCCAAAAAGCAATCTGATACTTCTTGTGGATGTAAAAATGAAAGACCGAAACGAAAACCGAAAACGTTGTTGCCAAATTTATTGATTTGTCACGTAATGGGCACAAACAAGTATTTTAACGTATTTTAAGCGCAATCGAGATTTTTGCGTATAGGCGCAAATACGGCATTTATGCGCAAACTCAGTCCACCCCGTGGTTGTAATCATGTTCTACTTTTCCCTTTGAAATGTAATCTTGTTGTGCACTACTCACCCAGCAAATATATTTCCATGCATTGCTTTGTCTGTATGACGTACTAAATGTTGGCATTGTGACATTGTGCACACACAGTTCCGGAATTTATACTTTGCCCGCAACATAACAAATATAATTAATGTATACGTCATTATTCATATTATAATAGAATAGTATCTAGGTACCATTCTAGCCACTGCAAACTGCAAATACATGTATGATTAATATTTGAATTGTATTGTAGAATAAAGTTATCTAGTAATTTTTACTGAGTAAATGATAAAACGGTTTATATTAATATTGGTATTTATTATAATATACTATTTTATATAACGCAGAATGGTGTAAATGAGTTCATGGGATAACGTAAAAGTAATTTAAATATTTTAAAAATAGTTGTAAATTTAAATATGAACATTTCACGTAGGCTGCGGCTATTCATTCCTTGTTTACAACAAGAAGTAAGAACAAAATCAATTCTATCGAAAGCCAGTATTGCGTTTTCCCTAATTGGTTTTTCCCAATTTTAGATAGTACCGGAAGTACTTTTAACATCCCAAAATACCAAATATATGCTATTGTCTACTAAGAACTATCTTCAAAGTTGAAGGATCGAGGTTTCACGTCAAGAATGAAGCATTTTTACTGCTCCAAAAGTGATGACAAACTAAAAATAAAAGCAGTAAACACATGTATGTATTTATGCATATATCATTGTAAAAGTGCAATAATACGCTTAGAATTATGTAATTCAAGTGTTGGGTTTAATTTTAGTGTATTGCACTATTGTATTTTATAGGTTTGTATTATAAGAGAAGGGCCAAGGAGGGTGAAACCCGGGCTTGGGGGTAATACCTTGGGTATTGGGGGCCTCACTATTTTTGACTACCTATAATTAACTTAACCAGTTAACTGTTAGGAGGTTATTTGTTCCGCTGTGTTCATCGAATTCGTATTTTTAATTGTTTTTTTGGTTTTAAAAATATTGAGTATTCCTACATTTCCGAGCCCTCTTAAAAATGTCAAGCCCGGGTGGGAATACTCCCTTTCTCCCTCTCGGTAGCCCCGTATGTAAGTATTAGGACAGATATTTCACACCACAGAGTAATATTACTAGTAGTATTACTCTATGCTTCAGACGAATATGTTCTGGAATATTATCATTTCAAAAACGGTACGTCTGTTATTTTCGATTCCTAAGACGTTCGAAATATTCGGGCGTGGCCACCCTACCGTAAATAGTGGTTGTTAATAAGACAATAAGACGAAAAACACGCGAACCTACAAGGTTGGCATGTGACCTCGATATTTAAAAATTATATACGAACCAAAAATCGTAAACAGTAGCGCTATCTAGCGATGAAAACAAAGTCGTCTTTTTTTGTTGCAGGCCTTCACTCGTCTACACGTTCGACCATACCTATGAATTATTATTATAATCGTATTCCGTAGCACGATTAACAGACTTTAAGTTAGGTAGTTAATCATGGTCTGTAGAAGGTAGGTATAGAAAAAATTACAAAACACATTTTTGATGCAGTAGCCGTTACTCAGTTGGAATAGTGGTATTGGATTGGAATATCTACAACACGTTTGACTATTTGAGATTTAACACAATTAAACTACAATGTTTTAGCTATTTGGTTCCGTATTTAGATCACCTATGCATCAATCTGTCTTAATTTGTGTAAATTTAATATAATTTATAAAAGCTGTGTGAAGTTACATTCGATAAATTCTGAATTACATTTTCATTCAACTAAACCTAATTCTTAAACTAAAAGTATATGCTTGTAAGTTTTCACTAAGGCGGACAGTGTGTAGATAAAAATAGTTGTATGAATAATCTCTCGCAACTCTCCTTCAATTTTTTTTCTTACAAACTAAGAGTTTTTATAAGTTTTTACGCAGATTTTTATAGTGTGTTATTTTATATTTAATATCAATATTTTCCAAACTTGTGCCTATATATGCTCTCAATTTGTTTATAGTATACTCAAATATGCATTTATAAGGAATATTCGCTGATTTTCAAGTAGTCAATATTAGGGTTTCATTTATGACCATCGTTAATTCTTTTAACCTGTTGGTTGCCAATTTTATTGAAACTCCACAGTACAGTACCTACCTATATGTATTTTAGGTAAAAGGTACAATCAAACTATCATGATGATAATAATCAACAAGTCAAACATACTTGAAGCAATAAAAATGGTAGTCGATAGCCATAAGTCATAACATGAATGGATTGTATTAATTGTGGGGTTAAGTCGAATGGAAATGCGTGACATTTTAATTTTAACCTAAAATTAAATTTAAAAAAAAAATAATTTCGATGGAGTTAACTTTTATTTGAACAGATCCAAAAATGTAATAGCAGTTGATTTTACATATTCTTTTCCGGTATAAAATTGTTCTGGTATAATTTAAATTTTGGTAAGTACATAAAAATCAGCAAAGATCAGTAAAATGTATAATCGTCCTACCGTTGTGGAAGGGTATAAATAATGATCAGACACCCCCGAACCTTTTCTCGGGGATTTGATAATTTTTTGAAAAAGTTGTACATGAAACCTCGTTAAATATAACTGTTATGACTTATGAATTCAAAATATTAACATTCACCATAATACTTAATATTCTTACTTATCACTTTATATTTGATTAACATTAATAAATGGACTAAACAATTGAGTTTGTGCAGTAATAGTTTTATATAATCGTAATTTCGTCGGTAACCGCTTACACACATTAGCGAATTCGACAAGTAGGTATACAGTGTTATACAGTATAACGTATACTACATTACTACTTATACAGTTATACTTATGTAACTATTTTTAATACAATATAATATTATTTCATATTGAGTGTAGAAACAATTGAGAAACAATGAAATCCTGTACCAATATAAATAATTTACCCACAGGTTATGTAGAAAACCAAAACACTCAATAATTATATGTGTTACGTTTCAATAATATATGTAAACATATTCTTTAAAACAATAATGCGACGCGTAAAAATTAAAGAAAACATTTCCTCGCGTACGCATGCATTACAATATATAATATTATTTGGTTGAATAAGCTAACAGTTTGGAACAATAACAGAACATAGTTTCAGGTACACTTTTCAACTTTTGTGAAAACAGTATTGCGTTCGGGTTTCTATTCCGATATTAATGATGTAGACTGTAGAACAGACACGTGACCATCGTGGTCAGACTTATCGCCGCTGCTGAAGACTTCAACGACCTAGAACCGTTACATCCGTCGTCGTCGCAAGAACCACAGTATTTGAGGGTTTTCAGCTCGTCGTCGAGTCTTTGCATTCCCTTGCACAAGTCTGCTTTGTGATAAACGCATCCTCGAGCCACTCGTACAATATCTTCTCCATCTATATTACAAAATAATACGTATATTATGCGTGACGTGTGTGCAGTTTGTACCGGAAACAGAAATATGTTACATTAGATTGATGTTGACAATTTGTTAGTTATACATGTATTACAGGACTATACGATTTATTTATAAACACATATTACTATAATAATAGTATCTACGCCGCAGCTTACATATTGTGTTGAACAAATATTTTTTGATAAATCAATGTATTTTTAATTTTTGAAATACTGTAATGTACCGTTTTTTAATAGAATTGTCAATGTGTATACCCATAAGGCCGTAAATTGATGCCATTATAAAACAACGTTTTTTTTATAATATTTTTTTTTGAGATTATAATGGTAATATTTTTACTTTTTTAATACCTAACTCACATTTTTCATACTTCAAAGCAGAATGTTTTTCTCAGAATTTCGGTTCTTACATAAAAATAAAAAAGTCGAACGATTGGTATAGGTAGTTAAAGTAGGTATTTAAAGTCATTAATATTTAACTACTAGTTCGAAATCCGATAGGTATTTAAACGTTTACATTTTCAGAAAAATATTTTTCTCCAGAAAATGAAATTAGAAATTAATGCTGTTTGGTATTTAAATAAGTTAAAAATAAAAATTATAAAAATAAAAAAATAAAATTGTTTTAAAAAACTTGTTATGAATTCAAATCATGTATAAAATGTTAACAAACAACACTGTACTTATAATATAATGTATTCTGAAATTTTAATGAATGCAATAATATTTATATTTATTTTTTTATGTGATAATCAGCCATGCACAACTGTCTTAAAATAAATTACAGAGAGCCTCATTCTACCAATGAGTCATTTTAAACAATATTTAAATTAATTGAAACGACTTTTACGACATAATTATCCAAATATGAAAAATTTAAAATAAACTGTTTTTCTAAATTCTAAATATTTTGAAACGAAATAAAGTTTTAGAAATAATTGTGTGTATATTTCATAATGACGAGCCTATAGTAAACACAATTAATAATCATATAATATTCAAAGATACATACGTGTAAGCACTACTTTGGAGCATCCAACTGAATCTTCACTGATGGTGGGCAAATTGAAATTGTTGTTTTGATTGATGTTGAAACCGACCTGATTTGCGAAATTTTGTAGAGCATTACTGGCTGTATTTAGGGTGTTTCCTAGTTCATGGTTGAAATCATTAATCGCTCTAGTATTACATTCAACTAAAATACTATCATCTTTCAAGAATGGATCACCACAATTTTTGTTCCACCATCCACAGGTGTAGCATTTTAGACCAGCGCCTGATAATCAAACAATATAGGTACAATCAAACGAAAGAAAAATTGAAATGTGTACGAGGTTATAATAATAAATACAAAATAAGTCACATATAAATTTTGTTTCTGCTCATATTTTTGGTTAGAATCGTGTATGGAGTTGACATTAGTTACAGATAATGACACAGTTTTTATGATTGTACATAATATTCTGTAATGTTTTATATTTTGTCATTTAGGCTAGTAAAAAGCTATTCAATACAAATGTAAAATTAAGTAATAAGTAATAACTAAAAGCTATAATAATACATTAGAAGCAAAGTGTATACCATATGAATGAGGACTGTAGTTCATTTACTAAAAAAAATATCTCACTGATTTTGACAAATATTTTGGGTTTTTAGAATATAATACATAATATGGTATAGGTATATGCTATAGTTTCTATAGGTATAGATACATGGAATGTACATCATACATATATAATGTTATTATTTAATAATAATCATCACATTTAGAATATAAACCATTTAATGGAATGTGTGCATGTAGAAAGATCTATAAACATAAACGTGGTTTATATTTTTTACTTTGATAATTTTACATAAAAGTTACATTAAAAAATATCAGATAATATACTTGATATATCTACCCGCATACCCTACATAATATATACATATATAAATATCCTTACACTCTAAAATGAGTCCCCTCGAATACTTGAAAATCACCTACTTAAGTATTGATTTCTCTTTTAGATATTAATTTTCTTTGACCCAACATAAGCCTCCCCTCATACTGCCTGACGTCTGTCCCCTTACTTAGGTGTCTAGTTGCGTAAAAGTGTACATTACATATATTATTACGACATCAATTCGCCGTTGTCTTATATAGATAACAGACATTTATGATGAGTATGACTTATATATAAAATATAAATCTATTTTCTTAACATATAATAATGATATAAAATACATTTTTATATTTTTTTAATGTATCTACTATCTATAATTCATATACATTAATAATCAATAATTTTAAAGCTGGTGCCAATTTCAAGAAACTTACCCTACGGTTTCCACTAAAGAATTTCCAAAAATATCGAGCCGAATTCTATCTCTTTTTCTACCTATTCCATTATATTGCATAGAGTTGATTTCGGATGTGAAACTCTTATTATTTATTTTAATAATCGAGTGATAATGGCAGTGCTGTTATAACGAATAATAAGTAATGATGACTAGCGACTAATATTATTTTTTACTTTGCAAACATTGGAAACATTATATATATAATATATATATTATACTATGTAGAAATGCATAATTATTATATTTCAAGGTTACTGGTCTACCAAATGTTTACATATATAGTATGAGATATATACACGTGTGAATGTGCTTAACCATTTTAACCAAACCCACGCAATAATAAAGATTTTTATATTTGATAATCTTTATATGCGTATAATAATATACCTACCTGGCTATCTAATAGTCTATTACTTTAAAATTTAAATGGACTTTTTAATTTTTACATAAGATTTTACATTAGAAACAATTTCTAAAGTTTGACATTATTTTATTGTATTTTCGAGATTTTAAGTACAGTTATATTATGATCTATTAAAGGTAACTTGTAATTTCAAAATTGTTTATTTTACAGTATTATTACGAATGTCAGTAAAATTTAATGTATCCATGATATATTAAATCAATTATGATATCATGTTTTCGTATAAATCAACTAATTTTTGTTTAACATTTAATTATTTTATCATAAATATTTAAAGTAAGTAATTACTAAGCTAATTGTAATTCAATCAGTTTTACACGTATGATGTGATATGAAATTATATGATAAGCTTCCATGTGAAACAGCCCTTTAGAATTTGTATCGACTACAATAACTATAGATAACTATTAAATATTTTAATTCAATAATAAATTAATAATATTATTAATCATAAACGATAAACATTACGTGACAATCATTAATCTAGTTTTAAATATGATTACAATAACAAGTAAAAAGTTTTAAATAAGCATTTAAAAATATAATATTATCTATATATATATATATATACCCATACGGCGTTGATATTGTAAATTAAAATTTGTAAGGTGAGATCTAAAATATATTATGTCTATTATACGTATGTGTGATCTTTACGGTTCATAGTTTTAAATACATAAAATATTGTAATAATTAATCTTCTGAAATTAATTGATTGTACTGTTGAGTAAACAGGTTCTTTACAAATAATACTGGTATTCAATATGTTATGTATTATTTTTTCTGCTAATAACAATTTTATGGAAAAATGATTTTACGTTTTAATAGTGTGTATTTATATATTAAGACATACATAATGTGCTTTCCGTCGATATTGTATTTCAATATAAATCATTATCATCACGTTATAAAACAATAAAAACAAACAATGTGTTTATAGCTATATTGGCCGCGAGATTTAAATTTTAAAAATTAAAATTTTTTTTTATTAGGTTTACCTAACCTTATAATATACCTAGTGCTGAAAAAATAATTACCTATACATATATTATAGACACTACCTTTACAGATATTGATTTACTAAAAATATCACAATAGATATTTATTCTGCATTTTTTAAATGTTGACATAACTTAATTAATATTCATCATGCAGTAATTTTGTTTTTGTTTCGTTACAATAACGAAAACAATTTAGGAATTTAACTATTTTAATATTATTCACTCAAAAATAATGAATAATATATAGAATTATATCTAATATATCAACTATTAACCCCCAATGTCAAACAAATAAACATTAAAACTACCATAAAATGTATATACTGTATGTTGATTATTATAATCATATAAATTATTTAAAAGTGTATAAATAGTAAAAGTGAAACGATATTCAAATGAGTATGCACCGTTTCCGAAAAAAAGCTCGATTTTAGCTTCCGCTGCACAAGACGTCACAACTATAGCACGACCCAGTGGCGTATCCAGGAATTTTGTAAAATCATTATTTTAATAATATAATCTATATTCTAAATATAATATATATAAAAGCCAAATACCACTCACTCATCGCTACATCTCAAAAACTAAAAAAACGTACTAACTTAAAATTTGAAGTAGAGGTTCCCCTAATAGTCTAATGATATAGTATTATAATATGGGCGAAATATACTATAACTCAGCTTTTTATTACTAGTAGATACCAATAACTTGAACAAAAAATAGTATTACCTTACTTACTAACGATTGACTATAATTGATAAGTTGCTGAAATTGTTTGTGCAAAAAAAACCAAGATAAACAAGACGTCAATAATTATATATTCATGATAACATTTTTGATATGATTGGCATACCTGCCAGTTGCATAGTAATAACTTTAAATACGGTCGTTTCAACAGTTTTCGGTGATATCGTATCAATTTATAAATTTTTAAGAATTTTTTTGATTCAAGGAAAAACATGTAGGTATGACAGGTACAATAATATAAGTATACATATTAGTAAGCAGTATGGCACCTACACATAAATTACATTCGAACAAACAAGCTAAATCAAATTTTACATTTTACAATAATAGTGTATCCGCGATAATCATTATCGTGTTACAATATTATGTCTGTGTCACACAAATTGTGTGTGCAATGTGCATACAACATTACATTTGATCTATATTGGACAGTTCAAATTATTTAATGCTGTTTACAGTTTTTTATTAAACAATGATCCTTACAGTAACAGTTTAATAAATTTAAATAATTTTTTTTGGCATTCACATTGACATATATATGGGCATAATATATTATCATGTTGAGGAGCTACAACACTTTTTTAACAATGACTAGTTTACCGAAGCCTTTCAAGTAGTTTTTGTGTAGATATACCTATACTGTTTGAATGTCCCGCATTAAGTTTCAATGTTTCATAATGGGGCTTGCTGATTTTAACAATTTTAAATTATTTTTTTACGCATTAGTCGAATTACTTAACACATATCAACTATATTAAGTTCATAAAATTTTTTACAAAATTTAAAATAAAATTCTGTCATAATTTCCGGTTGTCGTCAATAATACCGTAAAAATTAACGAAACAAACAATAACAACATTATTATTAATGTAATAATTAGCAATGAGATTTTCATAACCTTCGGCGAGTCCTTGTCGTCACGGGTACTATACAACAGTAAAATAGTGTCAGTGGTTTATTCACTTTCCAGGGGGGACATGGTTCACTGATGATTTTTTTTTTTTAAGTAGGTAAACGAATAAAAATGTGCTCATTAAAGTCTTCATTTGGATATTAGGAATATTTTGTTTGAAGTTCTGTAATAGCTATAGTACACTACGCGTATGTTGTATATTTACTATTATATTGTATAAGTATGTGTAATTTCTACCAGCCACCGCACACCAGATGTTTTATTAGTAGAGCTATGAATTTAATGCACTAAAATATAACATTCAAGAATGCAGTTTCAAATGCATTTAAATTTCCAACACACTACTTTAAAAATCTTAAATATGCATTTATACAGTTCTTAAAATGAAATAAATATTTTTTAAGTATAAAATAGTATCATAATATAATCTTACTGAAAAAAAAAAACATTAATGTTCATATGTTTTTTTAAGAAATAAAAATAAATTTGATTCATTTTGGCAAGTAGTTGTACTGACCAAAAAATAAAAATATTTTTATACTTTTGCATTTAAAAGTTTAAAAAAATTATAAGTAAACAAAAACAATAAATACAAATACTCAGCCCGTCTGGTTATTATTATTATTAATTAGTAAGTAGGTATACCATCGTTTGTCTGATCACCCAATACCTATATTGATTAAACACCCCATTTGTGTTCAATGACCAATATTATTGTCCGACACAGTTAGGTAATAGAATCATAATATAGAACAGTAATATCAATAACGAACATATAATGGTTTTTACAAAAATGCGTAGGTGCATATTATAATATAATATTTGTTGGTCACAACCCACAGGACACAGACTCATAAATAAGCAGATGGATTATCTTAACGATGTGGATGTAGTATATGTAAGTACTGTATGTTACATAAATAGGTACCGAGTACAGTATATACTTGCCGCTGTGTAGTTGTAATATTAGATTCGGAGAAAGTCTACAGCACAGCACATTACATCGACGTCCGGTTACAACGCGAGTAGATACGAAACCTGCCTATCTAGTTTAAAAATAAAGTCCTTGTTTGCGAATTTGCAAATCATCACCATCACAATGGTGGTCAGAGGATGACAGAAAAAATAGCTTAACTAAAAATAAGAACGGAAGAACAAATAAAATAATACTCACTCGATCCAAACAGAGCGATTAAACATAACGATATCGATGCAGTTAGTTTCATATTGTGATTTTTTTTTCTCTTTGGATAAATATTATTTAAACTCAATTATTCAGATATCTACGTTACAAACAATAATGTTTAAATTGACCACTGATATTATAGTTGTTGTCGTGGGTACGAACGGACAAGTGTCTGCAAACTGAAAATGGTTATAACTGACTCTCACAGTCTCACGCACCTCTCTAAAAACTGTTCTGCGTACACCTACCACTAACCGACCTTGGGCTTGCCCAACGTGCGTTTTCAAACATGGTTGTTTGTTATTGTTTTTTTTTTTTTGTTCTTTTCATACTTCTCTCTTCCGAAACATTTCGATGGTGTTATTATTCATTATACAGTTCACTTTATAAAATGTCTATAATACATGAATACACTGCAAAGTAGTATAATATAATAATTATAAATAATAAATATTCATTTATATATCGGACTTCATATTATGTCATTCGTATTATGAAATACAAAATAATATGAAGTACTAATTCGCGATAATGGGGACAAATTAGTTTACTTATATTATATTCTTTACAGTGAACGTGAATGTCCCATAGATATAATTTGATGTATAATTGCATTTTAAAATATAAAAACAACACGTCACTCGTTTTTTGTGAAGACAACAATTTTTTTTAACTTTTGGAATCCTCACTGAATTTGCATAAGTCGGTACAAGTACAACTATTATGATTTATGAAGCTCTTTAGGCTCTAAGGACATTTGATATACGTACACTGATATTATTCATTTTTTTGAATCTCAAAAATAACAAACATTTATTAATATTAATGGCATTATTAATTTATGTAATCAAACTATAGATGTTTTTATTTTTTAGAGCTAATATATGTACTTACGTTAAACGTTTTTAGCTTATTACTTTATTTTAAAATTATTCAATCACTTTAAAATTTAAAACACTTCTCAATGAGGTATATTATAATACTTATATTGTTATCAAGCAAAACATTAAAAATATATAATTGGGTAGGTAATATGTATATAAATATACAACTATAATAAAATATACCTATACCTCTTATTTTTAACATACATCTTCACTAGAGATCTAGAAAGTTGTATCTACATACTACATAAATTACGCTATAATACACAATTGTTTTAAATTTTAACATTTACATTTTCACTCTGGAATTAAAGATGTTTGAAATAAGAATTTAAACTTCAATATTTAGTATGGTAAGTATGTATAATGTACATTAGACATTTAGACAGTTGTACAGCTCTTCTGTCGTACATCTTAATTGCATTATAATTGTTACCTAAAGGTATTAAACGTTGTAACTTGTATTATAGACTATATAGTATAATACTCTGCACACTATGAAAACATACATTTATAAAATACTTTATTATAGAAAAATAGTGAGATACCCTAGTTAACATATAATTGTATACCTACTACAAAAGTTTCAACTAATAAAAACAGTATTATTTATTTTCAAAGTTTATTTTTTGTCATGAAGGTACCAGATGCTTCTTTTATTTATATACTTTTCAACTTTTATTAAAAATACTTGCATCCATGCTTAAATTAAAAATATTGATCTCGTGTCAGAGAGTAATATCCTCATTTCTACAAAATAAGGATAGCGAACGTTGCTGCCACCACGGTGGCAAAAGCTATGTATGTCTTTTGCGCCGAGTTACAATAATCTGTCATACAAGTGCACACGTCCTGCTTGCCACCAAATCCGGATCGATGGTAACATTTATTATTGTAATTCGAAGCGTCCCAGCCACATGTTCTAATGATCCGATTTCTATCTGACGGCACTGTAACAAAGAAAACCATAGATAAGTATTATCAAAATAATAAACTAACTATTATTATTATAACTAAAGATATTTTTTCATGTAAAAGCCCGTTCTGAAAATGAATACTATTATGACATTAAAAAAACATAATTTTTGTTCAAAATGTTATTCAAGTTATATTTCGAAAATCATTAGCTTTCATTTCAACCTGGTAAAAAAACTGTTACCACAAATAAAATCTACGCTATTCGCATACGTAATAAAATAAATAATAATTAAGTATTACGATACTAATGTTAAATATATTATTGTTAAAGTTTAAATATGATCAATAATATGTATATATAATAAAGACATAAAGGGTTAAAAAAAGAAGGCTTAAAGTTTTGACTTTTGGATACACGATAATACATTTTACCATTTAATATTTATGTAGTAGCCACGTGCTACAACAGATCGTAATACAATGTGTGTTGAAGTGTCAGTGCACTCAATTCAGAGTTCAGACTCCCTCTTTAATAATTTAAATAACGTCAGACAAGTGTGTTGAATATCATAGGCTTATTGAATATTTAAGTATAACTCAAAATTAATTTCATTCAAAACGAGTGTTGTTACTTGTTAACACTCTTATGTTTTTCAAAAATATAAATTATTCTCATTTTTTTTCTAGTTATTTAAAAGCATTTTACTATTGTGATAGAAGTATAATTTCGATAAACGAAAAATTATTTGAACTTAGGAATTATATATTAATAAAAAAAAATCACATAGCTCAGATAAATAAACTACCTTTCCTATAATCTATACTATATTATTAATTTATTCAATGGCGTGATGATTAATATTAACACATGTACCATGTAAGTTAAGGGCTCAGATTAATTCTGATTCATAAAGGCAAATTACTTAACTTAATATTTGTACTTAAAAGTAATTAATCGACAATGGTAGACGATAATAGTGCGTGTACCTATGCTGCCTAATACAAACATGGGAGTTATAATTATAAACGTGACAAATCGTTCAAATAGTAATAAGTAGGTAGCTAGTTTTTGAAAGATTATATAAATCGATTGATTCATATCTAAAAGTTTATTTTCTCTAAAAGTTTTAATGTTTTCGGAAATATTTTTTTAAAATTATTAGGTAGGTATTTAATACAATTTTCAAACGAAATAAATCATTGACTAATTTTTTTATTGTGAACACTTTTTGAAATATTTACGTTTATGATTGACAGCAAACATTTTCAAAATTTCTTATTCCAAAGTAAAAATATTTTTCTGAAAATTTCAATATGTATAAGCTTAATTTATTTTTAATAAATAGTTATACTAAATGGATAATGTTTGCAATTTTAATGAGTAGAGGTACACCAATATTTTAAGCTGTACCCCAGTGAAGTAATTGTAGGGGCACTTGCAGCACTCCTGTAAAGTTTTAGTAGAGGGGAAGATGTATTTTTCCACGTCATCACCAAATAATCCAACTGTTTACAATCCTTTAATCTTCTATAGTAAAGAATGAATGCAATACATTCAACATACAATTAAAAATATTTTTTTTTATAGTATAAGAAGAAGAACATTTATTTTACGTTTCTCATGTTGTATAATATGTATTGACGTATTGTGAACGTTATCGGTTTTTGTGGATTACAAAAATAACCCAATTATATTATTTCATGAATTATGATTACAGGATTGTTATCACATTATTTTTTTCAAACAATTTATAGCCTTTTTTATGAAATCTTATGTACTTAATATTATTTAAAGATAATGTTCTTATTTCCGTAGGTATTACAGACTTGTTTAAAATCTAATATAATTAGGCCATGCCTTTGATTTTGGAGAGTAAATTATTTTTCACTCTTAGTTTTTTAACCAGTTACACCACTGGGTACCCCTGTGCTCTATGTTACTCCACATCTCCACAAATACACGAGGGTACACTGATACTGGGCCTATGATTAACAAGTTATAGCTATTTGAAAAAAGTAATTGACATTTTCCGTTGTCTTGAATTTTAATTCGACAGTGTGTTCGGGGGGAAAAGTAGTGTTGTTACCTACCTCAGTTTTATTTTTATGCAATAAACAAGGTGAAACAAACATTGGTATCACTGCACTCCAGTCCACTCATCTAAACTTTAAATACCTAATTAAAAGTTAAAAGTTATAACTAATTGACTACTCATTCAAAATGTAATTTTAGGTTCTGAACGGTGCAATGAATGTATTAACATATTTAATATAAAAATCAAAAAAATATTTTATTTAGCCATTTAGGAACATACAATAACTAAAAATGGTGTGTGGTTCAAAAAAATTAGAAAACTTAGTTTTCGTTTAACTGCCTTAATCAATTATGGCTATTAATGCCACAATAATAAACAGTAAATACTTTTTATTTTAATAACAGTAAAAATGGTTTTTATAATTTTTTCGACAATTTTATTTTATAAGTAGTTAATAATTTTGTACCTGCAGTCCAAAATATTTTTTTTTAAACGTTTAAATATTTCAAAAAATAAATGTTTACCTTTAAAAAAATCGCTGTATTCCACAATACCTACTATAAAAAAAATAACTTTACTACTAACTTTATTTGTTATACTTAACACAACAAGTTAAGATCTTAAATATTTTAAGAAAATGTTTATAAATGTAATGCTAATGGTCTAGCCACCAAAATCGAATTTAATCTCCAATTTTTCATATTATTAACTTTTTGGTAATGCAGTATTTACATTTAAAAGCGTTTGAAAAGCGTTGTGAAATAGTATGCATGGTTTAAATTAAAAACAAAACTATTCACTTCAATAACATATTAACAACTTTATTAAGTGCCCATTGTTTTTTTAAATTTAAATTTTGATGTTTTAGAACGATCTTTAAGACGATTCTACAGTAAAAATGTTATATATGAACTATTCATTATTTGTGTTGGTTTTACGTCATTGGCTAACTTCCAAGCTGTTAATATTTTATTATTAGATTACCAAATAGGCGTTTTAATATCTAATTTCAAAATCATATGTCCTTAAAAATGTATGTTATGTCAATAATTTTGAACATTAGGTATTGAAAGGGAAAAGTATAAAATAGTTCATTTAAATATAAAAATACTACTATTACCTACTTACCATTATTTATTGTAAAACATTTAGCTAAATAGAGTTTATAATTTTATGTTATATAATAATATACTATTCTGTAGAAATTAATTAAAATATAATATTATATTACAGTAAACTCAAATTGGTGTATCACATTTAACAATAATTATGTCAAAATAAATAGTTAGTACAGAGTACAACTGAGAATTATACCAATAACTCTTCACATTTGGAATATTGATTAACCCTATGTATTCATTTCACAATAA